TTCATTCAAATTTACTTATCAAACAACATCAAACAGGCTAGATATCAAATTGAATTGTATTCGATTGTGATGATTAATTTAGTGCCTAGATTAACAAAATTCTAGTTGGCATTTTTATTTTACTGCGTATTAAGAGTGTACCAGAATTTGACGGCAGATAGTAGCACATATTATTACATTATTTTTGTTAATTTTTTATCGAATTTATTTATAAAAAGAATTATTAAAGTGTGTACTTTCTTAATACGCTTTTATTATTTTCAGACGTGTGTATCTTAGTATGTAACGGAATATTTGAACATGATTTTGACCCCCTTCAACACGCCGGATTAACTCGAAATTTGGTATACTTATACTTAAAGAACTGATGACAATTCAATATTAAAAAAAAAATTGTAAAAATTGAACTTCAACTAAAAAATAGAAAATAAATTTTAATAAATTTGAATTAAAAATAGTGTAGCAAAAAAATGACTTTATTGTAAAAAAGCGTGGGGTGCTTTTCAGGATATTATCAAAATAACCCTTCTACTCATATCTGCTCATAAAATATTTATAACTACTTGTACCATGCACCCCACGATTTTTTTACAATAAAAACTTTCTTTTTCAATTGATTCAATTTCATTCAAATTTATTAAAATTTATTTTTTTATACGAAATTTATACTTTCTTTATTAGAAGAAATACATTTATCTCCTTATCTGTTGTATATTTGATGACAATCGTAGTCAAAATAAAACTCCAATCGTGCATGGGAGGTGTTCCTCCAATTCTTTTAATATGATTCTGCACGTGAAAACTAAATTAGCTATGTTATTCGGCACAGAATATCATAGATAGTCAACAATTGATAAAACGAGGTCGGGCTAGATTCTCGGTTCGATTATTATCTTTGTTCTAATTCCGATTAAAGTTTGGGTATACGTAACGCTGTTCTTGTCTTGTAAGCTGTTTCCTGGAATTATAACACAGAAACAACCAATTCCACACACAAAAACCACATTAGCACAACACACAAATAACTTTTAACAGAAGCGAACTATATTCGTATAAAAGGATCTTTATCGTTGATTTACACACGGACTTTGGACGAAAATAGCAAATGTAAACGATCGTGCTGGAAAATAAATTAGACTCCAGCAATAAGAACGAGATGCTAATGATCAAATTGGGTCAAATCATATCGCTTGATAGAAGCCGAAGGGCTATCACAAAATCATTAGGCACAAAACGGCAAATTAAAAAAAAAAGGTCCTCAAAGTAAATAAAGCATTTGTATTACTGTTGATAGGAGGCTGATGAGGTTAAGTGGATACTAAAACGTACTCACCTTGCGGTAGAAGGTTAAAGTCGACGATTTCTCGTCTTTCAATCCAAAACCCATGATTGTTTTGCGTTTGAAAAAGGTAGTATGTGTGTATCAAACCTGACATAACTAATAAGAATGAAGGAATTCAGGAGAAGGTACTGAAATAATTTCAGCTTAGAGTTTATTTTTACGAGTTTATATTTCGTCGCGTCGTTTTCAATTTAAAAACATGTCACCTGCCATATTGTTCGTGTGAGTAGAATTTATTAGATGAAGGCTGTATTACGTACGGTACGGGCTGTATTTGGTTGTGTCTCTCAACATATCAGATTAAAAACACGAATGGATTCCCTTTTACGAAACATCGTCGCAAAAAGGTTACGGAATTAAATTAAGAATCGATTGTTTCTTCTTTTTTTTTTGGAGTTTACTCCTTTAGAATCGATTTACATATATAGGCCCGGGGTATGAAAATTATGGGGACCAAAATCGTACTAGCATGTCACACGAAATGCGTTATGCGCCTGATTGGCTCCTGATTGCGTGATGCGTGCGCGCGCCAATCAAAATCGTACTAGCATGTCACACGAAATGCGTTATGCGCCTGATTGGCTCCTGATTGCGTGATGCGTGCGCGCGCCAATCAGGAGCCAACGCGCGGCCGCGTTATCGCAGGTGACGCCGGGCTGCTGCGCCGGCAGTCCGCCACAAAGCCTCGTACTGATCGCGCGTTTCTCTCATTATTGTATTTTCATATATTTGTTAGTCGTTTGTTTTGTGTCTCGTTAATTTGTTAATAATCTGTAGTGTATCGTGTTGTCGTAATATAGAACTATTTCTCGTATTGTTTCGTTTAATTTTTTATATCCAGTAAACTCCAGTCGTGCGTCGGAGCGGACACACACACTTTTTTTTTTAAATTAAAGTTGGGTGAATGAGCTCATAGATGTGCTGTGGTAATGTACCTCATAGACATCATAATCGGAATGCCATCACGGACCTTGAGACATGAGGTCGAGTCCTCAATTGAATTCTATATAACGTTCGGTTCTAATTACAGTACAAGTTAATAGTGGATATTATCAAGTAATTATGAAAGAATCAAGATTTTAACAAATGACTCAGTCTTGAGTACCCAAGTAAAAAGGGCCATTTGTGTGGCGTTTTATACTCATATATATACATACATATATATACATATATACATATACTCATATATATACATTTGTAGATGTCTATGGGGTCCAGTAACTTAACACCAGGTGGGCTGTGAGCTCGTCCACTCATCTAAGCAATAAAAAAAAAAATACATATTTTTTTCTTCATAATTAATTAATGTAATATTAATGTTGTGCGATATAATATTCTCGTTATAATATTTACCATCTCGGAAACTCTTGCTTTCGATTGAAATCAAATTTATCATTTTTGCTTTTGTTTGTTTGCAATCTATGAACTTTGTTATTCGGTGAAAAATTGACGTTTAGCTGTATCCTGTCATACATACATATGGGGTTGGAAAAATCGAGACTGGACAAATGGCCTAGGCTAAGATGTTATGTGCTAGCAATAGATGTATCAGACACCAAAGATGAAACAGGAGACATTCTCTCGTATAAATCATGGACTGGAATATTGAGCTGGGAGATTTGGTTTCTTTAGCTTCTTACTGTTTCAATGATGTCTTTAACCGGTAATTCTGTGTACAGAAACTGATTGTATAAATTCCACATTATCGTCGGATAGTATTCTTTATCCCTTTATCGATAATTGGGAGGATTTTTTGATATGTAGCTAAGTAGGCACTCGTCACTAAGGTGAAAGCAGATTGGCTGCGTACTTTATTCCACTTACAAGCCCGAGTCTTGAGGTAAATCTGAAAGTATTTGAGTCACTAAGTCAGACAAAGGTACTTTCTTTACGTGTCGGTAAGTTATATGGTCGTTCAGGCGTAAATCTATATGATTTTTCATTGCTACGGTAGGCAAACTGGTTTAAGATAAAATAGTGAGTTGTCACTGTCATGGACATAAGCGAATCCTCCTCTAATTCTGTGTAAGTAGTTTAAAAGTTTCCTTAAAATAGATTAAGTTATGTTTAACTTTTACGTTTTAGTGTGCAAAAATCGACGTATTCGTGACTAAAATAGCTTTCTCATTTTCCGTGCTTCTATGTTCTGTATCGTTCTTATATTGTGACGTAATATGACCCCGTGGGAAGTTGGTGTTTTGGTTGTGTAGACTGATGTATTGTCGCTATATCTCACGCGATTGGTGTTAGCGGATAACTTGACTATATAGATTCTTCAAGTACGCAATTATTTCTTCCAAATAAATTATTTATAAAAAATCGGTTATCTGTAAAGTCGGTTTACTGACGATAGTTGAACGTGACAACGTCATAAGAAAATACTGATGGAATGGTTTCATTTTTGTATAGCAGCTGTCCACGCGGATGCATCGCTCACTCAAGTAGGAGAGAGACAGATGTCGAACGCTGCCGAACGCGGAGGCCGATTGTGCCTCTTTGTTGCTCGTTGCGCTTCATGCAATGCCTCAGAGCGAGGTAACGCCGCATGCGTCATGTTTTTCGTGCGTGCAGCCGGCTCCATCGAATTATAAGACGTTGTCACGTCAATAAAAATCTATTGATATATAATTTGTAAGTCTGGTCTTTATCGAGGCTTTATTCAGAAAGCCCCGTTTATAGTGTTGAAGGCTATTTTCAGTTTGATACTATTAATAGATGCGCAATGAACTTACTGTAGCGTATCTCTTAACATGTAGACGTTTCAGTTATTAGTAAATTATGAATACTATCTTTCACATTGAAAATACATTTATTAAAATAGTAGTGTAACGGATAATTTGTACAGCTGAACACGATATTGAGAGGGTATAGCTGAATTTGTTATTATGAGAAATCCATCTCTACGACGTTTTTTATTTGCACTTGAGTGATCATTGTTAAAAAATCGCCTACTTGAAACTACTATAGAATACCATATATTGTAGTGTAAAAATTATGCCGATCTTGAAGTGAATAATGAAGTACATCAAAATGACTATTTAAATGATCACCAATATACATATTAATGACATACCAACCCCTTGGGCACGAATAGACAGATTAACCTAAAAGACATTATAACTTAATTCATAAACGGGTGATGAAGCGCCTGAGTCACCTAGTTAGGTGATGATTACCGGACACCATGGACATAACTATATGAATACCGTCACTCATTTTGAGACATGAGGTCTAATGCTCAATTGTATAGTTTAACGGCTGTTTGATTCTGATAAACAATTGCAAATATTAATTTTTTTCATATTTTAAACTACTGCGATAATTATAGATATCTAGAGATAAAGATAAAGTTATGTACTTAGAATGATTTAATGGTCAGACTCGAAGGATAATTTTGTATTAAAATGGGTTTTGAAGGCGAATCGTAACTTGCTAAATTAAACCTCTCAAAAATAGTACTTACAATTAATATCAGAATGTTTGTCTTAAATATGATCATTTATTATTTTTATTGTGGCTATTATACGTATTATGCTCGTAATAAATTGACTTTATCAGCTTCCATATTAGTGAAATGTTAGCTCATATTTCTAACCACAGTCGTATTTCTTCATCTGGCTCTTTATTCTGTATCTCTAATTATTTGTATATCACTTACTGTTTTGTTCATGTTGAGTCAGGAGGAAACTGTTGGATGCAGTATTTCTCTGAAGAAGGTGGAATGGCGGTGTGAGACTCCAATAGCACTGCAACAGAACGTCAAGTATTTACTATGGAGCACCATTGACGTCATAGAACGTTGACATGCCAAATAAAATGGTTAATTTACGATTTTTCTGATGATACCTCAATCGTTTATCTTAATTTCGATTCAACACTCTGTGGCTAATCATACTAGTTTTCAATTTTAAGGCGGTTATAGCACACAGAAAAACTGCGTAGACATTAAAAACTAATGTTAGTGATTACATTCTGTTGTGTCACTCGAGCATATGACATCATAATTAAAGTGTAAGGTGTGACTCCCGCTTTTAATGCTGATAATCAATGCACATTTTCTTACTGAAAATCTTAACCAGCTGTGGCCGTAAATAGATTGATTGTGGCGTGCAGCCCTCGATAAATTACATTTAACGTCAAGGTGCAGCTTCGAGTTATCGGGAACGGTCTGGACGCCGAGTATGCTCGATCGTTTTATACGACCTCACCCTTCTTACAGGCTTGCGTTTCTCGTGAGTAAACTCAGGCCGACTTTGATAAATGGCATGACATATCTGGTTGTATGTAACTCAATAATGTTTGATTATGATTGGAATAATGTTTGAATGAAGAATGAACTTCATAAACTTTATTTTGATTTAGATTTTACTTATTTTATTTATTTTACTGGTGGTAGTACCTCTTTTGAGTCCACACGGGTAGGTATCACCACCCCGCCTATTTCTGCCGTGAAGTAGTAATGCGTTTCAGTTTGAAGGGTGGGGTAGCCGTTGTAACTGTACTTAGAACTTACATCTCAAGGTGGGTGGCGGCATTTACGTTGTAAATGTTATGGGCTCCAGTAACCACTTAACACCAGGTGGGCTGTGAGCTCGTCCATCCATCTAAGCAATAAAAACTAAAGATAAATAATAAGTAATTGAATGTACCAAAGCACAAATGTATAATAGAAGGGTCTTATATCAAAGTATGTGTGTGGCCTTTAGCCTTTTGACTTGTGTTACTTAAATGGGTTTTGTGCTACGCAGCTTACACGTTATTCAGGTGAACCCTTTTGTAAGCATTATAACGTACGTGAAAGTTTTTCGAGAATAGAACAATTGAATTGTGTTCACATTTAGTACTTACAAAAATTTGGCGCGTGTCGAGAACACAGCGACCGTCGATGTATAAACATCCCGAAAGCTAAGCTTAAAAGTTTTACAAGTTTCGAAATGATCACCTTCTGTTTCCAAGTTATATTCTTCGCCTGTGTTTATTATGAGATCATTGGTCTTCGTGTCTGGGTTTTATTAGTTTACTAGCGATCCGCCCTCGCTTCGCTTCGGAAACATTAAAACACACATGAAACCAAAAAAATAAAATAAAAAAATATTTAAAAAAAGTAGCCTATGTTCATCAGGGACAATGTCGGCTTCTAATGGAAAAAGAATTTTTCAAATCGGTCCAGTAGTTTCGGAGCCTATTCGAAACAAAAAAACAAACAAACAAATCTTTCCTCTTTATAATATTAGTATAGATATAGATATAGATAGAAAATAATCTATTTATCTAATTCACATATCAATGTACGATTTATTGTTGTCCTTGTCTCGTATGTGATTTTGGCAAACAGAATATAAATATGAAAGACTTTGCTTGGGGACGTCGCACTTTTTTTTAAAATTTTTATTGTTTAGATATGTGAACGATCTCACAGCTCACTTGGTGTTAAGTGGTTACTGGAGCCAATACACATCTACAACGTAAATGCGCCACACATCTAATATAAGTTCTAAGGTCTCAGTATAGTTACAACCGCTGCCCCACCCTTCAAACCGAAACGCATTACTGCTTCACGGCAGAAATAGGCGTGGTGGTGGTGGTGGTACCTACCCGTGAGGACTCACAAGAGGTCCTACCACCAGGTTTGGTATTTCGAAAGTTGGTCTCTGTGTAGCTTCTACCAGTCGTCATTATTTTTTTCTGCGCATAAATATAATAACTGGAATGGAAAGGTTTATTAATTATGTAGGTATTTAATGATGAAAATGGTACAGCTGTAATAGAATAACATTTGTAACTTCGATAAAATGTGTCACAGTGGGCGGCGATATTCGATTCGCGATGTTTATGTGCTCAGTGCCTACGTTTAACTATGCTTGTCGCTAGGGGAGCTGTTTTAACTGCACACAAATTTAAGTTAACTTTTACGCTATCGAGGACGTCAAAAAACTCGCACCAAACACACCGATAACGCGATTAGTAAGTTCGTTTGCCCATCTACGAAATAAATACGTTTTTAATGGATGTTTTCGAATAAAAATACCAGTGCCTTCTTATTTAAGACGGCACGAATAAAATCAGAGCCACGGCTGTCGAGATTATGCTAGAAATTTACATTTGCGCGAAAAAATTTCATTCGCCATTGTGGATAGTCGAAACAAATACTTTCGTTTCGGATTCCTGGGGCAGAATTGTTTTATGTTAAATTAAATGCTTCTGTTCTGTTGATTTTTCATTTCATTTATTTGTGAATGCCGTGCCGTCATTTCGAAGTTATTTAATCATTAACGTTTAACGTAGGAAATGAATGCGCCGAGCCCTGTACTAAAATTAATTACATATTTTAATTTTTAAATAAATTTAAGCATAGATTTTATTACATGTGTTTGTAATTTTTTATTACTGGATTGTATTATTGGTGTTTTTCCCGGTCACCGTTCTCGTCGAACCCGTCGCATGCGACGAAGGGCTCGACGAGTAAATTAACCCTCAGACACAGCCCACTGAGTTTTTCGCCGCATCTTCTCAGTGGGTCGCGTTTCCGATCCGGTGGTAGATTCTGCGAAGCACGGCTCTTGCTAGGGTTCGTGTTAGCAACGTCGTCAGGTTTGAGCCCCGTGAGCTCACCTACTAGTTAAGGTTACGCTGGTATAGCCTCTCAAGGCTAACAGCATAGGTAGGAAAAAAAAGTACTGGAGGTAAAGTCATTATCTATTAGTTACGTCCTTTTTTATTTTTTAATGTTTTATTGAGTGAATGAGATTACGGCCTACCTGGTGTTAAGCGATCACCGGAGCCCATAGACATCCACAACATAAATGCCACGAACCGCCTTGAGACATGAGTTCTAAGTCTCAGTTTTTACTGTATAACGACTGCTGAAAGGTAATTCAAATCTAAACGCATTATTGCTTCATGACAGCAACATGCCGGGTGGTTGTACCTACCCGTGCGTGCTCACAAGACGCCCTACCACAAGTTTCAGAGCACAAATAAATATAAGCTTAGCTTATAACAACATAATCATGGTGCCAATGTTAGTAAACAATGTTTGAAAGCCTGGTGATCCTGCTAATAAGCCCAAACAATAAAATGGCTGTATCGTCACAGGTCATTAATACGTGTGCAAGCTTTCCAGTTAATCCGACGACTTGGAATTGCTAAGCATTACGCTGAATAGATTGACAGATACTAACTCACAGCAGGTCAAGCTAATAAAAACATCTTAGTAGAAATTCTATAACGATCATTCTGCAATAGCTGAAGAAATTTTTGTATTAGTTTTCTAATACGTGGCTGAATTACTAATAAATTTTCCCGATTGAACTTTGCTCTGTGCTTTAGAGACCTTTCTAAGGGTTGCGATATCGGTTCTTTGAACAGTTTGATTTGTTGTAACATTTCTTGGGGAATGACTTTAACTAAAGCTACGTTTCGTGTAATTTCACTCGAGTTGAATTCAATTATCAATGAACGTTCTGTTCTCACAAAAGGCACAAAGTAAACACACGGGTGATACATTGTGTCTGCTGAGTTTAATTCATTTTAACCAATCACTTTAGGGTCTAATCGAATATAATTGCTATTGGTATGTGAGTTCACATATCGGTTGCGTCTTCCACAGTAATTCTGTTCGAGGCATTCACGTTTGAAAGTTCGTAAAACGGTTGAAGTCTGGCTTTCCGTTGAGATTCGGTAGCCGCTTAACGTTAAGTGTGCTGTGACATTCTTCGAGAGGACACGTATGCACATAATCATGTAACTAGATGATGACCGAGCTTTGCTTGATTTTTTTTTGATAACGCCATCTTGGTTAGTTGCCCTCAATCAAGAAAAATAGTATTCTTATTCGCCAATAGATGTCGGGAAGAGTTGATTATTGAAAACACGAATAAAACAACATTTTCTGAAAACAAATCGTAGCTAGATCGATTTATCGCCCCCGAAATCCCCTGTATACTACATTTTATGAAAATCGTTGTAGCCGTTTCCGAGATTCAGATTATATATATACAACAATTGCTCGTTTAAAGGTAAAAGATAAAATATAAAATAGTACGTATACCATAATACGTATTAAAAAAAGTACACGTATAATCATTGACTGGCATCATGGTCGTTGATCTGATAAATGATAGAAGGACCTTCTCCGAAGCCGTATTGCGCCACAGAGCTTATTGCTATCCTAACCTAATCTTGAGGCCTTGTAAATATAAATAATTGCCTGTACTTGTTTCCTCAGATGTTTTCTCAAAATCACTACAAAATCAATAGTTGCAATCAAAAATTCTGAATGTTTTGTTTTGTGAGATTCAATAAATATTGCTGTTATCTTAGTAATTATTTACACTACGTTAGGATTACAATACAAAACCTTTCTAGCTAAATGATTTAGCACAAAAACGTTAGATTTAAAATAAAATAGAACAATAATAAATCAAATCCTTCGAATGTGCGTTTTATCTACCTATTATTTACACATGGTTAGTTTAATATTTTTACAGGTCTTTGTTTGGCAATTTGTGAAGTGTACATAGACACTAAACTAACACGAGAAATACAGGTTTTGCCTAAACAAACTATGCGCTATATGAAGAGTTACGAAAGAACGTGAGGATCTCTTTGTTATTATAATATTTCATGTGAGTACTTCTGTTTCATAGCATTGTCGACGACTACAGTTGATTTTTTAATAAATAATAAATCTATATATATATAAAAATGAATTGCTGTTCTTTAGTCTCGCTAAAACTCGAGAACG